AATTTATTTAAAATATTTTTTTATTTTGTTAATACAACTTTCCATTAAGAAAAAAAAAAAAAAAAAAAAAAAAAAAGGGAAAGGATTAAGAAAAAAAGTGTAGTCGTCATTTAATTTCAGATCGTGCATTCTGAGTTTGTTTAAAGACACTGTTTAAAATGCGACCTCCCCTGCGGCGAGGTTGTTTAGCATTCTGGACTATGTCGTCGACCCGGCGGTCAAGCCACTCAAAGACCGCTCCACTTGTTGCCACCTCGAGATGACATTATTCTTCCTCCTTTCAGTCAACTCTTTTTTTTTTTTTTCCCCCCGCCTTTTCCTGATCTTGGCCACTTCGTCTTTCCATTGTCGCTCCCTGAGGGATTTTTTCCAATGATCCATTTTCGCAGTAGGTTACCCTCTAGGCTTATTGCGTGTTCCAACGTGTTTATTGAAGGAAACGTTGTAGTGTGGAAGGGAAAAAAAAAAAGATAAAAAGAATTTTCGGAAAGTGCTGCCATTGATTTGGCTCTAGGTCAAGGTGTCAATTTATTGCTTTTTTAGTTTCCTTTTCGTTTTGAGTACAGTTTTATGAAGCATCCATCCTGCATTCATGGAATTTTTTAATCTTTGAACATATGAAATGTTTTATATTTTATGCTAATTCAAGGATGTTCTAAACAAACAATAATAAATAAATAAAAAATTTTAAAGCTTTCAGATTTTATAATACCCCCAAAGGGGCGTTTTTAAACGTTTCGTGGGTTGCCTTTATTTATTAAATATCATGCTCTTCGCACTTAAACCATAAAATTCAATTCAACAGCAATATCGCAAAATAATTTTAAAATGAGCATATCTTTAGAATTTCCAATACACCCCCGCACGCTGGAGATGAAAGTGTTTCTTTTCTTTCTTTTTTTTTTTTTTTTTTTTTTTTTTCCCCGTATAGTGTTGCCATACCTCGCTTTGAAATTGTTGAGTTTCTTAATCAAAAATTCGTTAAAGTTTTACAAAATATGAAACGGATAATAAAACAAATTCCAATTTCAAGCTTTCAGATGCCCATATTCGGGTGGAAACGTGCGTTATTCAAAATTAGATGGCTCTAGGTACCGTTGTTTTATCACAGTGCAAAATACATACAAACATTTGTGCAGATTCTTCATTATTTAATTTGTTTAAATATAACATAGAGCGATAATATTTGGTGGCAACAATTTGAAAAGTAAACCGAACATTTAAAATTTTCGACGCAAAATGCCACAACGAAAAAAATAGCCCTTCTGGGTTAATAAATAAATAAATAAAAAACTTTTCTCCAACTTTTCTTTCCGAGTTTTTATTAGCACAAGAGATGCTATTAGTCTCGAAACTCACTTCTTGTTCAAATCACTTTCCCAGTTGTTGCCACCAAATCACCAAATGTTTAGCCATGTATTTTTACTTCATTGTACGAAGTAAAAAGGAAGTATGGTAATCGCGAAAAATTTCAGGCATCGTATTTAAACGAAAATATCCATTTTGACCGCTATCGAATGCAATTTAACGATGTCTTTGCGTGACATCCGTACGTAAGGACATAATAAAGGACTCTTTATCCCCCTCAAAAATTATAAAACTGATTTAAAATGACTTCTGAAGAGAATTTTTCGTGGCGTCTGTGCGTACATACGAATGTACCTCGCATAAGTCAAAAACCAACAGCCTTAGAACGTTGAGATTTTGTATATAGGAATGCTATAACATGTAGATGTGCACCTCGTATTTGGGGTGAATCGGCCCCAAATACAAAAAGTAAATATATATATAAGTATATATATATATATATATATATATATCCACTCTGTTATCGGCTCAGTGATCTCAGTTTCTTTATTCTTATATGACTGTAAATTGTGCATTTTTTGCTTTAAAAATTACTGAATTGTGTTCTTCTGGTCAAGATTGTAATGCCTTTAGTTAACTTGCACGCAATAATTGTGGAATTACCGACAATTTAAAAGTTTTTTATGCGCGGCTAAGCCTAATTTTTGATTACCATGACCGCCATGTTTGTTTACATTTCAGACCCTTTCAGATTTTTTACTCGTTTTGTAATTTATTTTGATCTCACTGTATAAACAATTTAAAATTATCACGAAGACTTTTTTTTAACTGTAATGCGCTCAAGATTGCTATAAGGGATACTTGACTGGTTGCCTGAATACAGCAAATCACATGGGGCCTATCTGCCTAAGGAACGATTGCTTTCGTGGAGGACTTTCTACGGGGGGGGGGTTGTTGGGTCGAACTAACAAGGCTCGGTAGTCTTATCCGTGCGACCAGATCTATCTACGTTGGCGGGCGGAATATCTTTTATCCATGCAAAATAAATTCATACTCAAAAGTAATGCATAATCAAAAAGGTGCTATTCAGTTCTACAGATTCGCCGCTGTGGGTCGGTCAACTCATAAGAGCGAACAAAAACTACCTCATGTATCTCATGCTATCTGAGATGGCAGCAAGTCACAAATCTGGCATCTTGCCAAGCTGTAGGATAACCTAAACAGCTATATGTCAGCCGAACGTAATGTAGTGCGAGATAAATGGAAAAAAGTTTTAAAAAATAATACGTTTCTAAGAACTTTGGCGAAGGGGAGCAGTACCACTGGAAAACAGATGAATTATATACTCTTTCTTTTTCTATCATTCGAAGATTCGGTTTTCCACAAAATATCTACAACTTAGCGCATCATGGTACGCGATGTTACGCACCATGATGTTCCAAGCATTTATCATCCAAGTGGTCAGATAGAATTCCAGTGAGTGAAATGCTACCATCAGGCACTGAACAATATCCTGAACTTATTAATTCAAATGGCTGCCTGATTTCACCGGCATTGTCATTGTATGCCGCATAAAATATTAATCTTTATAATTAAAACTGTGCACTGCTTAATTACTTGAAATTACCAAACAAAAATTACCATCTTTATATAATTTATATCTATATTTTATTTTTTACTCATATACATACTTACGTATTAACGGTGTAAGCCGAAGTCGACAAAATTTCAGAAAAAGCCAAATTCTGGTAACCCTGCGCACAGCAATTATTCAGTTTTAACAAGTACCGTCACCATTTTGGAATGCATTTCTTTTGCCAGGTTTTTTTGATAATTAACTAATTAAAAAGTAAAATGTGTATGTAATAATACGTACGAATGTAATAAATAATTTGTTATAATTATAAGTCATCAGCCTTTTCCTTTTATAAAAAGTCACCAAACTGCGGAAAATTAGTTGCATTAAATACATAAATACTATAATAAATCATACATCCAAGTTTAAAAATGTCTGTAATCTTTATATTGTTTGAAGTATAGGGAGCGGCGGTACACATAAGAAATTGAAATTTGTAATTTGTAAAAAACTAATATTTTTTTAATTAAAAAATTCCAAAATATGAATCTTTTCAGCATTTAAAACATTTTTGTAATTGGAAATACATACCTGAAGCCGACGGTTGCGAAAATAAAGACCGGATTAGGATTTTGGAGGATCCTGTGTATATTATTTTCATTGAATTGTTAATGCATTATCATCGTAATTATTTTGCATTGAATCGGTAATATATTATCACTGTAATTATTTTATAATGAATCGTTAATATATTGTCAGTGAAGTTACTTTGCATTTCTCAAATGCCAAAACATTCAACATTTAGAATGCAATTGTCATAAAAAATTATATTCCAAGGTAAACAGTATTCTTGTTGCCATTCTACAAACCATAAATTTAAACGATACGATAGCGTTCACTTTCAAAACTTAATTTTCCTCTTATAATTTCTATCTTCTATATTTTTTTTTAGAACGAAGCTCTTTAGTAAATTCAATCTAGAGATAAGTATTCTTTTTTACATAAATATATACATTTTATTTACATAACTAATACGCAGCTTTCAACAGTATTTGTTATTACACATTAATTTTCAGATTATTAGACTTAACATTTCCATTATATCGCGCAGAAATCAAAACATATTTCGAAAACTTAAGATGCTAGAACCGCCACCTAGCGGCTGTCCAACTAGATTCATAGTACCATCCAAGTATAAGTTGGCCTTGTACCATCTTAATGCGAACTAGGCTTCGTTGATAACATATTAACCGAACGATAACATTAAACGATAAGAAAAAATATCCTTTAAAACACCGACAGAATTTAACCCATTTGCTATAAATATTATTAGAAACATATAAATGGGTATTTTCACGGCATTTTAATTAAGAAAATGCAAAATTGTTTATAAACTGCTCAACAATGTCTCTGGAAATTATAGAACTGATGTTGTACCCTTAATACTTGAAGGGTATCACTCTTGAAAGAGTACATACCAATAAAGAATTTTAAATTAGTGTAAAACAACCTTAGTTTTAGCATAGATGTTTTCAGGGAGAATTTTTTTTTTCCCTTCCTGAAGTAGAAAGAAAAAGACTTGTGTATGATCGTCCTCAAAACCGATAGAATTGTTTAAAATCTACATCAAATTAAGGTTGCTTTTTCTAATTTAAATGGTAGACTAAAATCGAAGCCAAGCTGTCTGGCGACGTAATCCTTTACTTGGCGACCCTTCTGTGTTACTTGCCAATTTTTCTAACGCATTTTAACACGACCAACTGGATATAACGATATCTATACACGAAGGTCACGATTTTAAACTTATTTGGCGAATTTATCTTTTTTTTTTTATTTGGCAACGTAATTTTAAATTTATTCTCTAATAATTTCATTTTATTAACGAATTTTTTATCACAATAAGCGATGCATTTGCCGTGTTTTCGGGCATGAAATGAGCGGGACTTCAGCAATTCCATAATAAAATCCGAACGAAGACTCAAGTTGCTAGAAGCGCCATCTAATGGCTGTTTAAGTCAATTCATAACACCACTTCTATACGAATTATAATTTAAGAGCACATTTAAAAACAGAATCAGAGCTACAACTAGTGATAGAAAATTTTAAAAACACTCACTTGGTCGACAGACATGAAGCCAGAATGAATGCTATGTTCTCCTCCGTTGATATTCTATGATGATGAAAAAAGCCCAAATACCTAAAATATGAAAAGAAAAACATATTACCTCAAATTTATCACGAAAATTTATTTTTAGTTATAAAACAAAAGAGAAAGGAAAAAAGAAATATCCGTTTCTGAATTATTGCCAGCAATACATAAAACAGATATTTCTTTGAATTCTTTTCCAGTAGTTCAAATTCTCATTCAGTATAATGCAACTATTATTACATAAAAACATGCGCAAATCTACGGCATAATTCAGAATTTAATCATCTTGTTTCTCTAGTTTTATTGATATGAATCCAAATATGCATTTTGAAAACAATAGAATATGAGAAATAAAGACATGGAATAAATTTCGAAACTAGTTTCTAAAGCGACGCCATATTGACTAACATAAAATATCTAAATGGCGTGCTACAAATAAAAACGATTTTCTTTCCTTGGAATTGAATGAAATTTTATTTTATTACACCATACTATTATGATTCAGTCAGTTCATATTTTATTCGATGTACAAATAACATTTTTTAAAGTTGGTAAATCTAGCTATCTATATTAATTTTATAGCAGAATAAAAATAATTTCATATTGAGCAACCAAATCGAGAGAGGTTTACTGAGAATAAAATATAATGGTTAAAAACTTTATTATCAAGGTGTTTTGAATTATTTATTACTCAATATTATTTCTGTTGAAGATAAACTAGATTTTATAAAGCTATTAAAAATTATTAATATATTCGAATACAGAATTGACAATTAAACGGAAATGTCACAATTTTACTTTCTATAAAAAGTAAAGGAATTCCTTGTAAGGAGCTATAATAAATAATAAAATTATTTAAATATAAAAATACATTATTTAGTTTTTAGGTCTTGGCAACACAGTTTTATTGTTGTCAATCTTGATTGTGCTTTGCACTGTTGTGAATTTATGATGTAATAATACTTTTAGTAATTCCAATTAAACATTTTACAAGCTTTTATTTAGTTCAAGAACGATGTTTCACTGTGAGTGGAATTTTATACCAATTTTTACCTACTTCCTGATAAGCTATTGAGTTCAAATTTTGTAAACAAACTGTTTGACGATGGCAATGAAGCCATTTTTTTTTTCATGTGGTGAAGCCATTTTTTTCACAGCTCGATTTAGATTTTTTTTAAATTTAAAGTTTAAATGATTTTTTGCAAGTACTTTGATTTAACGAACAAGCTAAGCATATCAGAATTTTACTGTTTGCAGCATAGAATAAAGCGGGAAGGGGGGGAATTTTTTCAGCGAAACTTGAAAGGAAATTGTAAACTAATTTTTGAAATTTCGGCGATATTTTAAACCTTGCTCTATTTTTTACACTATTTGACACTTATGATGCAGATTAGGTTATTTTGAAGAAGACGTGAAAATGCGCACTGCCTTAGCTGGAATTAAAAGGAGAAAAATAATTTATCATTTTTAATTCATTATGGTCGCTCTACGCTTTTATTTTTCGTATTTTCGCAATATACAAATTACGTAAGAATTATAGAATCACCAGAATTATTAAATTTATTATTCCGGTTCATCTCTATGACAAATTAATTTTCTCCTTTCACATTAATTATCATATCTATTTTCAATAAAAGCTTATTATACGAGTATATAAAAAAGTATTTTTAATTGTATTTTACTTTTTTAATCTGCTACTTGTTTTGGGTTTAGAAACACTTACTTGCCTTTTAATACGTTCCAATTAATATGTAAAGAAGTATTTCAATTGCATTTGATATGTAAAACCTTAAAAAATTCAAAAACATGTATTACTCTAAAAGTTTATAAGCAGTGCCAAGTTATTTAGTTTTTATGAAAAATATATATTACAAACAGGGAAGAATAACGCACTTTTCCAATGAAAATTTTGATACATTTGACAGTATTTACAATTAATTATATTTATAAAACTAGAATATTAAACTGGAATGCGCATTTAGTTTTTTGCAATATGCAGTTATGCGTTTGAGAGAGATGTGATCTTATGTTATTTTATTCACATAATTTAGTAGTTATCAAATACTACTGAATTTTTACATCATATTTCGCTTAAACTCAGCGTAGAAATGAATTTAAGCAAGGATATGGAGCAAAACGCATTAATAATTTAACTTAATGTCATAATGTTTAATTATCGGAATTCGTTAAAATTTTGTCAACTATTAATTTTACATAGCATTTTCTTTACACCCAACGCGCAAATAAATAAAAACAAGAATACAGAGTAAAACTTTGATTAATCGAACATAGATTACCTCAATGTTCAGTTATCTGAATTCATTAAGATTTTGCCAAGCATTAATTTTACATAATATTTCGTTTAAATTCCAGGCAGAGGTAAATTTAAAAAAAAAAGTAAAAGAAAATTTTTTAAAAATACTGAAAGCTTTCAGATTTTATATTACGCCTAAACGGGCGTTTTTTCATTTACAGACACATACAAGTTTCCACAGCATTTGGGCTAAAGCCACAATGTTAGAAAAACTTTTAAAAACAGCATTACTTTAGAATTTTCGATAAACAGTCTCGCGCGCTGGAGATAGAAAAAATGTTTTATTCCCCACAGTGTTGCCACTGCTCGCTTTGAAACTGTTGAGTTTCTTAATAAAAAATTCATTAAAGGTTTACAAAATTTGAAATAGATAATAAAACAAATGCCAAATTAGGGCTGCCAGGTGCCCATATTCAGGTGGAGGAGTACGTTATTCAGAATTGGATAACTCTAGGTACCGTCGTTTTTTTCACGATGCGAGAAACATAAATACGTTCATTGTTGGGAAATCAGCCACGGGTATTTGCTACAGATATTATGCACTTTTTTTTTAATTAATTAATTTTGCTGAAAAAAAAACGTAATTTGATGTCCAAAAATTATTTAAAGCGCAAACATAAATATCAATTTAATTAAGACAAAAAGCGTAACGTCTCAGAGAAAGGTTTATTTGGAAATAGCATTTCTTTTTTTAAAGCTCAAAATTGCTTAACCAAGCAAATCAATTATCTGAACTCATGTTTATTGTCTAATATTAATTTCTTCTTTAATGAATTTGTAATTTCGTCACTATAAAGTACTTTATATTTATAAAGTACTTTATATTAATAAAGTGCTAAAAACTGAACACGGTTAGTTGACAATGCAGAAAGCATTTATCCTACATTTAACTTATTTTATAGTATATTTACAACATACTAAAATTGCAGTTGCCTTCTGTTTTGTACATCCAATTTTAAATGTGCAATTTAGAGAAACTCAAGTGAGAAAATACAATTTTTGTCAGGTAAAATATTGTTAGAAATATTGCTTTGGAAACAAGCGATAATAATAACTAGTTATTAAATTGTAATTTAAGTGTAGGAAAATCTTTCTGGCAGCGGCAGAAATAAGTTTTCTGCTTACATAATGCGGCACGATCGCGGCTGTGACGTCAGCATCCTGAAAAAACACACCTGCTCCTCAGTAGCACACCTGTTTAAAAAAACTCCCACGCTGTGCAAAGTGATAAGCACATTTAAAAAGCAACTCTCACAGTCACGTTTTAAAATACTGCCATTACGAAAAACGCAATTTAAATTAATAATATGCGATTATGTTTTTTCACAAGTTGTAATTTTTTGATATCGTCTGCCGAAGTTTGAGATGCACTGAACTTACGAAATGACGAATGATATTTAATTTCTACGATTACGAATAAAAGTAAACATAATTAGCCCTTTTAGTACTTTGGAAATTTTTTCC